TCAATTTTTCTAATTTTTTTTCTTGGCTGGTTTTTGGAATCTACTGCACCCATTGATTTACAAAACATCCAAAATAATAACTTCAAAATATTAAAGCTTTCTTTTTTTCAAATCTGTCATCCACCATTCAGCAATAATGATAATAATAATAATTACAAAAGAAATAATAATAAAAAACCCAAGTAAGGCCAGATTCTCTCTCTTTATATATAAATATATATATAAACAATGGGAAGGGGAAAGGGGAGCACACAGAAGACACCAATGATGCATCTGAAACAACAAATGAGAGTGAAGCAGACATTTATAAAAAAGATGAAAAGGAAAATATTTTGAACATGCACCTCGATTTTACGGCCCTCTACCACGGTGCCGTGTAATTTCTCCCTCGCCCTGTCCGCATCAGCACTATTTTCGAAAGTTACGAAACCAAATCCCTGCATGCAGGAGGGAGAAGGGGGGAAAACAACATGCACATTATTATTTCAGTCAATGACCACTTGTTTGCTTATGTTCTCTCTCTTTAATTTAATATTTTCTTGTCCTCGCTTCATTTCTGTAACATGCAAATTAGAAAAATTATAATTGTATTGAGATGTGCAATAAATAAGCAACAAATGTGAACAAATATTTTTTTTTTCCTGTCATCAGTTAGATAATACCCTCTGAGAAAGTCAAAGAATGATACCAAAAATACCTTTCTACATGTCACTACAGAGGAAAATAAATCTAACAATAAGAAAATGAAATTAAAATAAATTACAGTGTATTCACATAGAAAAAAATGAACTAATGAGAAAAGAAAATGAACCACATTTTAATGACATGCAGATATATCAACAAAATAAAAAACATGTGCACAAAATTCAACACTGAATGTCAATATACTCTAAACATTGCCTACTTAGTCATGCTGCTGTGATCATAAGAAACACTGTTCCCATGCAACACTAGGGTAACTTAAACTTTTGTCAAACTATACAGCCTTTACTTATTTTTTATAAAAGGAAAAAAGAAAAAAAAAGAAAACCACCAACAAAACAAAAGTACTTTCAGAACAAAGTATAAACTTTCTTGTATTAACAGATCAAAGAAAATCACATGATGTGAATAGAAAAAGAAACTCTGATAAAAGAAAAAAAAAATGCAAACGTTTTGAATAAGTTGAACTGCTTCATTTACTTGTTCTGCATATTATTTTCCACATATAGAACATGCAACTGGTAAAACTCCAGAATCCCACGTTAGTGGGATAAATCTGAAATTCTGCTTATGACAAACGCCCTCCTTTATAATACTAGACTAAAACAAACATTTCAAATCCTACTAAAATGCCTTTTATGCCCTAAGTTAAATTAAACACTGCTTAAAATGGCAAATATTTTGGAAAAATCTGACAGTGAAGAACATTTCAGAAACATACACCAACCCTTTGAAGTAATTCTTGCATTAGCACTACAATGCCTTTGCATGCCTCCCAAAGTTACCCAAATGCTTCTCTACAACCCCGGCTTTCACACCAAAAACCATTTACAAGTTGGACGTGGTGCTTTTCACGCAGGCAGTGCTCACATAGTTTAAGTGCTACTAAAACCAGGGTTTTTGATTTCTATTTTAGCCTGAACTCTGTTCTGCTCCTCAGCCATCAGCCACTCAGCACAGCTCCTCATCTCCCTTTGCTGAATTTTGCCAGTGCTCACCCACTTCCTCTCTATTGCACAATAGACTGGTTTAAAAAAAAAGAGAGGGGGGGAATAATAATAAAAAGAAAGGGAAGACATTTCTACATTCATTTACACGAAGGGGAGACCAAATATCAAACTAAGGCAAAACTGACACCAAGCAGTGAGAAAAAGAATGAGTATGGACTACAGAACTAATTAGTCAATCATCAAACGAAAAGCTAAGTAACTCAGGATAATTCCCTGCGTTATTGGGGTTATATCACCTACTCAAAGAACTCGGGTATTTATTCCCATTGATACTGCAAAAACTGACATTTGTGTACAGCAGTGGTCTCTGTCTCATGCTCTCCAAAGCAGATCAGGCACAGTTCCTTTTTCCCTGTATCAATCCAGCCCGAAGCCCGAGCTCCCAGGTGCTCTGCCAGCCATTCTCAGAACACTCATTCCACACATTTTCTGCACACCACTCTCCCCAGCTTCAGCACAAAGCCATGACCTCACTTGCCACAAGGCACCGAGGATGTAACTCTCTTTTTCCCAAAGCACCAGGAGTGGTGAAAGTAAATCCCCCTCCACAGCACTAATCTCCATGGTTTAGATCCCTGGAATGTCTTTTCTTATACCCAAAGCCATCCTCAACTTTAAACTTTTATTTCTTCTACAAATACTTCTTCCCATCTTGTAAAGCTCCTAATTTAGGAGGCCATTAAGAAAAATTTACAGCAGAAAACATTACTGGACCCAGAGTAACTCCATTCAATAGAAGAAATTCCCTCAATTCTCTGTTTTTTTTTCCTATTCTCTTGCCTGAGCAATTGTCCCTTCTTGAAATTGCAAACATTTAGTGGGAGTTGAGTCAAAATTTTCTGTCACTCTCCTTAGCTCACAGTGCTACCAGTTAACTTTTGTTCAAACAACTAAAGAGAAAGATAAAAACCTAATTATGCTAAAAAATTAGAAAAACATACAAAGTGGAGCCACAAGCCAAGATTAGACAAGAACTTCAAAGATTCTGAAAATAATACTCATTGTCATTTTTTAATTTCTTATCTTGTACTTATAATCAACACAACTTAAGCTCTTACTATTTTATGCAAATCTTTAACTTTACCTGGCTGACAGAGAATCTCAAGAACAAAACACAGATTCACCCATCACACATTCAAATGCCTACACAAACACTTTAACATCAATTTAATATGCAGCTGAGTTAACAGCTGCATTCTATTAACTGGTAATGCAAATATATGCCTTTTATTTTTGAAATCTGTTAAGTGATTTAATAATAGCCAAGTTAGTATGTGAGAAGCTTCTGATTTAATTTGGGAGGCACGCTGGAGTTCTCCTTATTTGAAGAAATAGGTGTTAATGTAATATACACTGGATACCCATTAATACATAAACACATAAACAGATTTCTAAATGTATATATAGAGGTGTCTAGAGTGTTGATTTATAACTGATAGAAAATGGTCAAAAATTCAAAAGTTATCAGTGTGGCTGTATATCTTACCAAAGCTTTCTTCATTATTATTATACATTCAAACAAGCAGAAATTTGTAGTATGAAACTTTCATTGTTTCAGGGTTTTCTTTTATGGAAGGACTCCCTTCTGCAAAATGATTTTATACTTTATAGTGGTGTCCTAATTTTAAGTTTTTTGAATATGCAATTCCATTTTTCTTAACTACTATGGCATGAGAATGAGATTACTTTTGTTGTTTTTGCAACAATCGTTTAAAACATTAACTATTAGAATAAAAAGAAAGAAAAAGAAACAGAAACAAAAACATATTCTAGCAATTCTTATGCCAAAATGCAGCTAGAAACAAATTTGAATTCTGATCCTGCAAACTTTGTTACCTGTACTCAGTCTGAAACCACTTAGTAGTCCTTTCAGTTTCAGTGGGATTTTATGAAAACATAGATAAGCACTGCCAGGAATGGGACTTTAATCTGGTGCATCTTAATTCCTACAGAATGGACACGAAATGATCAGATTAAAAAAAAAAAAAAAAAGGAAAAAAAAAAAAAAAAAAAGAAAGAACAGAAAAAAGATGTCCCTCTCATTCCTAATATGTCTTTTTCCTTAACTTTCCATTAATTGAGGGAATCTAAAGGTACCTTCTGCCAATCAAAATATTGTGTCGCTATACCTGAAATGTCTCTGAGCAAGGGGAGAAGCAGCCCTGAGCTGTGGGTGCACCCCAGCCCTGCCTCAGGCATCTGCAGCAGCTCCCCTGACACAGCTGGGCTGCAGCCCTGAGGGTGCAGGAGCATTTCTGGACAACAGTCTGACCTGAGCAGGGGGTAACAGGCAGGGATGTTACAGACCCAGCCAGGAAAACCTTTTCCTTCTGGAACACCTCCTAGGATCGTGCCTTTAGCACAAGGCACTGGGATGGTTCCACGCTGCAAAGCCCAACATCCAAAAAAAAAAATCAATTTGGGAACGCCTCCTTATTCCATCCCCCAAAACTTGAACAAAAACTTACACTTATGCAGCCCAATGCAGGTGTGGTGGTTAAAATGCCCACCCAGGTAAGATTTAGGGGCTAAAGAAAAGTTTAAACTCCTCCCACACATGCACAACCAGCAAAGGGGCCAGTGGGGGATGGCTCTGGGAATTCATGGGATTATGCAGCACCAGCAGATCTGGACAATCCATGACTTTTGTAAACGTTATTGAACAACCATAATTTAACAATAATAAATTTGGGCTGGAGTAGGAGATTCTAAGCCACCAAATTCCATCCATTTTAGTTGTTTACTGAAAAAGTGATGAATGTTCCAACTGAGTTTGGGCTGGCAGGCAAGGGGATTAATTAGTATCTGAATAATAAACCAGGAGATTTCAGCTGCTCCATTTATGTTTAAAAAAAAAAAAGTGAAGGCTTTAATTTCAGAAAATAAACATTAACAGAAGTAAAATGTATCTGATTTAAGATAGATTTTTGATGTATATGATTCTTAAAATATGACAGGTTACAGTATGTCTAGAACAGGGATAACATTTCATCGCTAATAATAATGATACATGAGTTACAGGAAGATTGAAACATTAGTGAATAAACTTTTTAGTGTGTCTGACATGGCAAGAAAAGGAAAAAAGATATGCATATGACAGACATAAACCCCTCTAATGCAGCTATCACAGGTGAAGACACTGGGCTACAGTTTTGCTGATGCAGTCCTGGCTGTTCTATCTTGCTTTATTTATTAAGTACTGAATAAATTGAAGTATGAATTTAAGGCAATGTAATTTTGTAAAAATATATTAAATGTTTCTAATACAATAAGAACTCTTAATAAAATAAATGCTAAAATAGATTGTTTTCAAAGGGTTGGTGTACTAAGGCTTTAGTTAAAGAGGAAAACATCTGCACTTAATCTGGAACAATCACATATTTTCTCAGCTAAGTACTAAAGAATATAGTTATTAGGTATCATTACCATCTTTCATTTTAATAAAGAAAAAAAATACTTGTACTAATACAAACCTGCCTAAAAATATCTTTAGCTATGGACTCATCTTATAAAATAAATGAAATAATTACCCTTAAAGAATAAGGACAGTGAAAATCAACATTCCCATATAACAGATGACAGTTTGGAGTAGTTAAAATTACCCCCTTTGAAAGAGATGAGTCCAATGATTTTCAAACTGCTTAGAAAACTGACTGACAGCTCAGAAGATGTTTTCACTAACCTAAAATTTCAGACATTATTTTGTCACAGCAGTGCAGTTGTTTCCTTTTACTCATGTGTTTTAAACAAAACAAAAAATTCCACAGGCGAATTAAACTGCTTACCTTTGAGCCTCGCTCATTAAAAATAATTTCAACATCTAAGATTTTACCAAATTGCTGCAAAGAAACAGAAAAAGTTACATGAAAATAAGTTCATATATAACTTCAACCCTTCTATCATATACAATGCAAATGTTTGTTTCAGGAAATGGTGCAATGCTTTAAAAATGTTAAACAATATAAAACACAACATATTGTTAAACACAAAAAAAAACCCAACACTAAAAGGAGTCAGATCAATATTATTTCTAAATTGTAGGCATCATTATGCTCATTACAATCACTCCACAGAGGAACCTGGAGCTCAGTGAAGCCCCTGACAGAGAGGAAAGAGTGTTAAACCATGAGCACAGTGAAGTGAAAGTCCCAAATTCTGCATTTTCCAGAGCAGGTGAAGGAGTTTGGTTATTTCTGCATTACAGGAATGACACTGAACCAGGTGAGAGTTTGCTGCTGACTTCAAGGACTGAGGATTTCTTTCCAGCTTTGTTGAAATCCATTATTCCCTAAGAAGTTTTGTCTTACTGGAGCACAATTTGAAAAACAAGAATGTGCACTCACTTTGAGGGGATTTTTTTCTCTGCTCAGATTATATTTTTATTATAATATCAGAAGTGGCTGTTACTCCTATTTAACTTCAATAGCACCCAATTCTCTAGACGTTGTTTGCACACACAAAAGCTGAACCCAGCTGATGTCCCAGAGGAAAAGGCCCTGTTGGACCTGGCTTAGGCAGGGAATAAATGTTACAACACTTTCTGTCAGGACACATTTGGTGAGGTGCCAGTGTAATGAATCAGGGGATAATTTATCTTATTTTGTATGTTATTAACATGCAGTATGGATCAGTGCTGGCATTGGTAAGTGACCCAATATCTTAATCAAAAAGGCAGAAATTAGAGGCAGGCAAATGGAGAATAATCCAACAAGAGTCCCAGGAACTGCAGAAATGAGCCTGTACTCCAGTCTTCTAAGATAAAATAAACAATTACAGGCCAGAAAGGACAGTATTCCTTCTCTAGCTTATTAAAGAGTTTCAACTTGACCATGAAAAATCAACCATCACTGGGTATACTTTGGCTTATTTCATGTTCTTGCATTCACCATTTAATTAATGTTTTAACTGCACCTTCAGCCTCAATGCAGACATGGACTTGATATTTAAACAATTCTCCTCTGTTATATTCATGTCCATGTAAAAAGATAATTACTGTGTGTATAACATGGACATGATGCATGCTGCCATACTTCATATTAAATATTTCAACTCACACATGCAGAAATTTCGTTTTTCTACTATTTCAGAAGCTAAAAGTTTTCTGTTATCAAGTCATTCTGGAAGTCAGCTGGAAATTCCAGCTATTCTCCAGTATCAGTCTTTTGAGACCTAAGACTTAGAAACATTAAAAGGAAATGTGTTTAATCATTTACAAATTACTACAATACCTACAAAAAAAATCCTTTAATTTAATTTTTCTTTTTTAAATAAAACCTATTTTACGTGGTATGTTTAGTTAAATAAATTAGGATATTTTTCTCTGGAGGATTAATTATTATGTCTTCTGCTATTCTGCTGATGAGCTGGAAGCTTCATTCAGGGGAGGTAACTTGTACCAAGTCAGATCCAGCAGAACAGTCACTCATTTCCCAGTACTACACCAGGATTCTTTTTCCAGGGACTGTTTCCTTCAGAGGAATAAATACTGAGAAACTCAGTATTGACTCGCATACAAACACATCAGAAGAACTTAAAAATCTGAGCTGAACATGAAAGATGGAAAGTACAGAGCTGTGAGGCACTTGGAGCTGCACTGAACAACCAACTGTAATGCAGGAGAGAATTTGGGTTTAGTGAGGCAGAATAAAGACAGTCAGAGTCACATGAATACTTCAGAGTGCTGTCTTGGGTTCTAAGAGATGATCCAGTACTAATTCTAGATTAGGTTTAGTGTCATTTCAAACTAAAGCTGAGAGTTCTTGGATCAGGGAGTAGAAACCCAGTCTAAGCTCCCTGGTTTATAATCCTATTGCTGATGGCATGTCCAGGGCCTGGGTGAAACACAGGGGATGTGCTTGAAAACAGCTGTGGCCTGGGGGGAAGCACAAATTGAGAGACTTACAGAAAAATATTAACAAAAACTTTCAAAGCCTACAGACCTACAAAACCTGGGGATGTGGGTGAGGATTCCTGTGTCTGAACTTTGTGCTGAAATTCAGCCTGTGCCTTCTTTTTGGGCCCCTTACTCAGGAGGTCAGGCACTGACTGTTCACCATCACCCTCTCCAAAATAAAAAAATGCAGGCAGATAAATCTAGATGTCTACAGCAGCAATATGTATGCATTTAAATCACAACAGGTAACCTTTAGTGAAAGCAGTACAAAGCACCCAAGTGCATCACATCCAGCAGAATGGGTGTAATTTCTTTTCCCAGTAGTGACTGGCAAATCAGATGTTTGATTATACATAAAGGAGAATCTTTCCTGGAAATGGTTGAACAGCCTCAAACAGAGGTACAGCCCTTACAGCTGCCAATAACACAAAACACCTATTGCAGTGCAAATGTACAAAAAGCAGAAATAAACGATGAGCACTTACACCAAACATTTGTCTAAGATCTGGATCCCGGAATCTGAATGGTATATTTGAGACGTGGAGCCGTTTTGGCTGTGATTTGTTTTCTGTGTTTTCAGAAGATTGTGTCTGTTGCTGACCATCGGTCTGTGCTGCATCATCTGTCTGCTAAAAAGGGTAAAGCAAAATAAAGCATACTGTAAGTATTTCTGACATTTTTAATACAAGGGGGTGGGCTTAAATTCTCAAAAAAAAAAACCCAAACAAACAAAAAAACCAAACCAAACTAAAAAGCAGTTAAATCTGCTACAAAGTAGCGAGGAATACCAGAAGTTTAATTATATGAAAATCAGATTTCTGTCTCAGCATACATTTTCAGTGATAATATGTATTTGGAATAAAATGGAGAATAAGTAGGCTATTATTTGTAGATTCCCTTAGGTATTCAAAATAATGAATGGATAGATCTCCCTACAAGATTGTAGAAACTCCTTTAACCTCTTCTGCCAAGGTAAGGAACTGAATCTGCAGTCCAAATGCTGCCTGATCTCAGAGCAAGCCAGACACTTTCAAATCAGATTATTGCTTTCATCCAGAGGCCACTGGGACTCTCCACAGAGGCAGGTAACACATCTCATCCTCGTTGCTGTTTCTGAGCAGTGCTGATGGGCACTGGAGGGTCATTCTGTCCAGATAAATGGTGGCCATTACAGAAAAGGCCTTGAGTTGTGAGAGGGAACAGAAGTTTAATCAGTGGTGAAGGTTGCCTGGCAGAAGTGAGACCCAGAAACAAAGTTTTGCAGATTTTCTTCCTCGCCAAAATGAGGCTGTGTTATGGTACTTCTTACAGGGACACTGTTCCCTGCTTTTAAAATTCTGATTTAAAATTGAAGGACATTGCCATGTGTTCTGATTTAACAAACAAATTATAAATCCACAATGAGATAAGGAAAAAACATAAAATGCCCCTCATCCAAAAAGTAAAATTAACCAATGCTGGTCTATCAGTATCTTATAAAAATACTTTAATTATATCCTACAGTGCCTAATTAATTACTGCTGGTACAGCACACAAGGTTCTGCATGCTGTGTTAAAACAGCCCAGTCATACTCGTTTGCATGGGCAGAGGGGTTTGGAAGAACAGAAGGTCAAAGGAAATAATAGTTGAAAGAAAAACTACACAGATGATCTGACAGCCATCACTCTCTGCTCTGTCTTTCCTCTTCCTTCTCATCCCATTGTTTACCTAAGTATTCATCTTTCTATTGTGTGCTAATGTTACATTTCGTTTGTCTTTCTGACTTTTTTCATTTAAAGAACAAAAAGAAGAAATTACCTATTTCTTGCTAGTATGAAATTTCTTTTAGGAGCCAACAGTTTAAGCAAGATAAAAAATGGTTAAATAAAATAAACCTTACCACACAGTTTTAGTACCAACAAGCCTGCTGAAGAGGAAGCAGAACAACTCAAACAGAACACATCATTTACATCAGCAATAACTACATATAAATTGAATTCTAGCAATTGAAATTCAACAATATCCTCCCTAGAGAATACAAATGTTCTCAAATTAAAAGTACTAACATCTGTATTGCCTATACTTCTGTGCTAAGAACACTTTATAAATAAAGGTCCTCATTTCTGCAGCAGCATCAGTCCATCAGCAGCAGCTCTGATATTTCACAGCATATGATGAGACTCACACAAACAAAAACTTCTGCGTGCACTGAAGAAAGATTTACATGTAATCCAAACACATAATGGGATCAGATCAAGTGTAAACCTGAAACTGAGTCAGTGCCACCACATCTCTTTATCTGCTACTCCCTGAGCTCACAGGCCCACAAAGTAAATAATTTATCTTCATGAATATTAGTGATTTAAATAGAAAATATTGTGTATAGCTGTCAAGAGACAAAAATGTTCCATGCTAATCTATTGTTTTCTAAAATCAACTCAAAAATTCAAAATTTAGATTTTGAGGTAACTGTTTTACCCAGAGACACCACAGGGATTATTTTCTACCTTCAGGCATAAAAGGAGAAAAATACGAAAGAAATTTGGTATGTGAGAGCAGGTGGGGGATGACAGACTGGAAACTCTTGAAATGCAGCACTCCAGAAGAATTTGAGGTCAATTGGATTAATCTGAAGAGAACTAAAGAATTCTGAAGGTACTGTTAAATCTTCAGGAACAGAGGGTGCCCCAGGAAAAAATTATATAATCAATGTCCTGTATAAATGCAAATCGAAAGGAGTAATCTCTGTTCATTTTATTCATAGAAATGAGGAACAGAAGAGCTGAACTGTGCACCACAAACATCCCAAAACACTGGGAGCAACTGCCCTGCTAAGCAGCTGAACAGATTATGGTCAACAAAATCCAGTGAGGTTTCTGAAGGTGGTGTTAAAATTGAGTTACAAATGATGGGTGAAGAGGATAAATCCAGGTACTGTTATTTTCTGGGCCTTTGGTTGGTTTTACCACTTTTAAAAACTATTTTTATTCTAAGAAGCCTCAAATTTACACTCTCAGCACAGAATGTCTCAGAGTCTGGGCAGTGAGGGCTGAAAACCAGAAATTTTAGCAAGTCACTGTCATCAACAATTCATAACTGTCCATGAGCCTCCAGATCCCTGGGGCAGAATTAACAGGGCTAAACCATTTAGAACATATCAAAAGGCTTGGCAATGTACCAGGCTCATTATCACCCAGAAATCCAAGGGTGTGCCTGGGAGATCTGGACAAGGATAGCCACGAATTGAAATCGGAATGTGAGGATTATGCAAAAATGTCCAGGTAGCACCAAGCAGGTAAAACACACAGAGGGCAGGGGACAGGCTGGATTTTGAAAAATCCCAGCCAGGCAACTTTCAGAGCTCTGTGGACTCACAAAACCAGAATATAATTACCTCACATGTACATAATACATTTCAGGAAAATACCTTCACTGCTAGAGGACCTGAAGAGTGGTGTTTGATAGTCCTTTAAAAATTAATTGATGTTAGGATGTGGCATTATCCTTCCTCCATCCTGCAGTCCTCCATGCAATCAAGTTGCTTTCTGGCCCCCATTCCACCACATATTTGCAATTATAAAATATGCAAGATTCTTAATATATGATAGCCTTAAAACTTATAATGAAAGTTATAAATACAGATGCAGAAATAGAAGATCAAATTCTCACTCACAGCAAAACAAATTGAGGTGAGCTCCCTTTATTTCAGTGAGCTACTGAAGCCTTAAGTCTTAAAAGAAATCATAATTGAAACATTCACCCAGGTAAGCAAACCCATATCAAAGAGAGCATTTCAGAAAAGGATTTCCTTTTTTTTTTTTTCATATAAGATAATTTAAATATAAACATTTGGTATCCTTTTAAACCAAATGCATCATCAGGAGAGTTAATATCTATTGTTTTCTACAGAAATTCTTTACCTTTAGCAAAATATTTTTCTTTTTGTTTCCTTAACTCAGTTCTAGAAACAGAAAGCTTCTATCATTTAAAAGACTTGACTCAAGTTCTTAAAGACTTCACACTGAAATAAAATCGTTGAAGGTTTTTTTCTGGTTTCCCTTCCTACCTTTTTCCTGAGAATTTAAGAAACAAAAACACAAGTGAAGAAAACCACTAAACCAAATATTTGTTTGGATAAAATAAATTTGTCAATTTTTTATTTGGAAAAAAATATTAAGTCTGCCCCATACTCACCTCTTCCTTTAAGGCTGTTTTAATCCAAATTTGCAGCAGTTTTCACTCAAAAATACATTCTAAAACCTTCATGCAGCCTCAGTGCAGCCCCATTTCCCAGCTGACTCCTGACTGCACACTGGAGTCTCATCTCCATCGTGGCAAAGGCACCACACCCGACAGAACAATGGTGAGTGCACTGAGATCAGAGAGGGCCTTGTGCACATCGCTGGGGTAAAAAACCCCATTCCATTCTCCTTCCTGGCTTTTACAGATTTTCCGTGTCCCTTTCCATCCATCACTGCAGACAGCCAGCCCTGCAATGGTTCTTACACTGGAATTACAAGTGTTCCACTCTCCCTCTATTCTTTTTCACTGACTAATATCTTTCATTTCCTACAAAACAATGATGGTGTGCACGAAATCTTTCACCCTCAAATCCCGTTTCCGACACAATAAATGCAGTCACAGAAGAGCTGTTTGCACATCACTGCAAGAACACTGTTCCCAATCTCAGCTTTTAAAGGCTGAATGGAACACAGACCATAGGAATGCCTGAAATGGAACTAAACCTTTTATCTCTTCCTGGACAAAGTGAAAATAAGTAGAATTGGAACATGAGAAAGTGCTGATCATTCTGCTATAATCTGCAAACAAGCAGAAATCTGTTGCATATCTTTTAAACCCACACCAAGTCTAGAGGAAGAACAGCCTAATTCTAGCAGGAATAACCTTTAAAATATTAACAGGGAGAAAAGAAAGAGGAAAAAAAAGGAACAGATTATTTTTCAGAAATATGATCGATGGCAAATTAGGTGCTGAGCATCTCATTTTTATATGACAACATAGGGTAAAGCTCTTCAGAATTTTAAATTTAGCAAAAGAAAGCACCCATTGAATTTTTTAATAAATGCTCTAAACAGCACCTGTTTTTTCCTGCTGCACCAATCAAGTTATTTCTCAGAGAGAAAGAGCTTGTGAATGTCTTCTAGGCATTATTTGATTAAGTTGACAATATTATGTGAGCAATGGTTGGGTACCCACTGTGCTGTACTTTTGACCAAATTGATTTGTGTAATGAACACTTGCTCTGTCTCTTCTCCAGCCTGAACAGGGCTCTTGATTTAACCGGTGGTGCTGGAAGCCAAGTGAATTTACAGCCCCCACAGTCATTCTCTCTCAATCTGGAGAGAATAGCAGCAGCAGTACATGAGCAAGCATAATTCAATACATTGTGCTATAAGCGCAGAAAATAATATCAGAGCTCTGCAATATACCTGTTTGATTTGATTTGTAAACCCGATAAAAAAAGCAATCGAGAAAAGTTCAGCAGAAAATATATATATATACGTCCTGAGCAAAAATATAACCATGCCCAATGTGTACAAACTGAAAAAATCATGCATAGTAAATCATCTTCATACTTCCCTCAGATAATATTGCACATTTTCCATTTTAAAAGGATCTAGATTCTGG